AGAAGAATTCTTTTGAAGATAAAGATAGAGACCTTTTAATTCCTTCACTGAAAGGATGGACTTTATTATCTTCAGTCTGTTGTTTATTTCTCTATAATAATGTGCTGATAACAATTTTGTTTTATGTATAAATTCTCAGACAAGCTATACTAATAGAGAACACAGAATACTGCTGTATATTACTGTCTTGAGAGTCTATTTAGATTTACATACATATATTTCTGTTCTATGTCATTATAGATACTTGTGCATTGTTTGCTGAAAATAATTGAATGTCATTGCAGAAGATGCTATGCCTTTTTGGATTCCTTCAACTAGTCTATCTATTGACCACATTGAGTAGAGATTCTGGAAGCTGCAATCTAAAAAGTATTTTTCCACTCAGTGCTTATTTTATTTTAATATAGAATAATTAGAATCATTTGTAGCATTATGTCTTCCTTGGAAATTCATGACGAGTATTATTAATCACATTACCATCCATAAGGCTTGCAATAATGTAGAATAAAAGAAACTGTAAACAAGACTTCTTATCTATATACATTATTTATATCGATCAATCTTTCATCAGGTACAACCCAGGCTTTGTTAGCTGATCTTAGCTTTGACATTCACTCCAACCTTAAGGCTGGTTGCTTGGCCTTGGGTTGAAGAAGGCTGGCTTATCCATTCATTTAAAAAGTAAATTTTCTGTATTAATTTCACTGCCTCCCACACATCTGTTCAAAATCCAAATCTTATTTGATACTACACTGCCATCTGGCGTTAAGTATGGAACAGTAGCCAAGCAACTGAAAACATCTGTTGACATTCAAAAGTCTATGAAAGGATAACAAGCCAATTAAATGTTTGCTAGAGTCCATTGGCATGATGTGCATCTACACATAAGTGATAAATCAGATATTAGACATTTTTTTCTTGCTTAAATCAAAACAGGTTGTTCTGCCCTAAGTGTAGAAAGGCAAGATCTTTCTCGTGGGAACCAAGGCTTTAGAGCTAAAGAGTTCTTCTCTTTGCTCTTTGACATGCACATTTTTATTATTCCAATTTCCTTTGCTGTCTCAGCATTCCCAAATGCCTCATGGTAAATAAGACTACTAGCCTTGATTGCTATGTAGTAGATACAGCAACAAAGCGATTCCCCTTTCGTTATTATCTAGTGTTGGGAAACAAGAGTAGTGGGTCCTGTCATGCATGTTGGTGTTTATAGACATCTCATTGGTCACCTTCAGTCTGATCTATCTTTATGTTCTTAGATGTGTTATGTTTGGCAAAATAATTACTGTTTTAAACATTTTTTAAAAATATAACAATGTTATATATATTCCTTCAGAAATAAGTTCCAACAAGTCCAACAAGATTTATTTAGCATAGAATAGCAGGTTTAAACATGATAGTTTGAGTTTTGCTGGTAGTTCCAACTAACAGGGGCTGCGGTAATACAGTGGTTAAAGCCACTAGCTGCAGGAAACAGCTGTGGACCAGAGGGTTAGTAGTTTGAAGCTGCGAGTCTGGGTGAGCTCTCGACCATCAGTCCTTGTTTCTGCCAACCTAGCAGTTTGAAAGTATGCAATGCGAGTGGATCAATAAATATTGCCTCGGCGGGAAAGTAAAAGGGTGCAGATATTAGACATGCTGGCAAAAAGATTGGAGATGTCTACAGACAGCAGGCTCCTTTGGCATGGAAAATGGAACAAGCGTACTCCCCATGGTCACAGGTGAGTATCGCCTCCAGACACCAGAGATGGAAAAAAAGGGGAAGACGTTTACCTTATCTGTGTATTCTATGCGCCTGCTCAAAGCCACAAAAAATGAAGCAAACTACCTCAATCAGCTCCAAAGTCTTATCTTTTATTGCAATCTACACTAAAAACTATATACAGGTGTAGAGAAAAATACGTCAGTTCACTTTGCCATATATCGATGGAAAAACACATGCTTATCAGATCTCCTGGCATCCATCTCCATCACAGGAACTTTCCAAAGTTATGCTCTAGCAATACATCACAGCTCTATACATTTAACTTTTGCATTATTTTGCTACACCACACGTTTAAACTACAAACAATATTTCTCTACATTCCCATGTTCTGACAGAATATTGGCCATATATATGTACTGTAATCAGCTCTGAGTCAGATAAAGTGAAATATAAATAAGGTGTATGATTAATAATAATAATAATAATAATAATAATAATAATAATAACCACTGAATAGTGTTGAAATGTCAAGCAATTAATACACAGAGTTTGTTTTTGTTGGGTCTAACAACTAGGGATGGAGAGAATCCTAGAAAATGTTTAAAAAATAATTTAGAAACACATTTCTTGGGTATCATGTAGGCTGTCAAAGTAGGTTCCTGGACTGCCGAGAATCATTGCTGTTCAGAACTTATTCAATGCCGGTTGCTATGCAACCCCTCCCCCCCCCCCCAAAAAAAAGACTTTACAATAATTACATGTGAATTTTGTGCAGAATAAGTTCTGAGTTGTAAAAACCTGTATAGTTTTTAAAGTCGTTCCCACAGCTAGAATAAAATTGCTTAAATTACCTTTTGCTTCCTTTGAAAATGAAACTAGGAAAAAATAGGAGCCAAATCCAGGCTTGTATATTCAATTCTGTCCTGTTGGAAGGATTACCAATTATTTGGACCAAATGGTGCTCAATGTTTCTGAGTAATTTCTCATAATGTTAGTGTCATTTCAAAAGAGAGATTTCAACGTTTAGATTCAAATGTTGGGCACCATCTCATTCCAGCTCTACAAGATTGTCTTCCATCAGGGCTCCTTAGAGAGAAATATTTCAGTTTTGTGAGAATGTATAAGGTGTACCTATAATCATCCATATTTCAACTTTAATGTAGCATTCAGAGAGCATGGCGTGAATATCTACAGCGGCAAGATATACAGAACCAAGACCAATTGGAGAAGCGCAGTCCATCACCACCTTCTTTGTCATCTGACAAAATGAGCAGTTCTATCAGCATGAACACCTTTTCAGATGGCAGCACTCCGGTAAGTATAGGTTCCCTTTCCAAACTTACTTAGTTGTGGTTGCAAGTATTTCTCCAGGGAAAAGGCTTTGCTCTTTTGGATCATTCCTTACAGTGCAACAGTGACTTGTGGATGACTCTGTGACTCTTTGCTATATCTGGAGATTTTACATACTGTGTTGTTATGTTTGAGCTTGAAATGGACTACACTCATTGGAAAATAGTGCATATCTTTATACTGAGACTGTTCTTGCTTGCTTGGTGATTGTGCTTGCTGTTGCTTGATTCTGGAAGAGTTAGATATCAGATCTGCATTTGTTTATACTGTGATTATCACACCTTTGAAGAGGTAGAATCTGAATTTTAAAGGGGCCACGTTGCAGAAAGAGAGCTTTATGTTTTTATATGACTTACTAGGGCATCCATCTGAAAATCCGCTTCCTCTGTAGATAAAAGAATTGACAAATGTTTTAGGGAACAGAAGACCAAGTGTCAGCCTTCAGTCAGAAGCAAGTGCTTATAAATATAGGGAAATAGCAATGGCATCAACAATATTTTATTGTGTGGAAATATTTACCAAGATAGCAATGTGGAAACCAGCCTTGAGCAATTCTGAGTTATCTGAAACTTCTTAGACTGTGCTTGCATTTACACAGGAACAATCATCTTGCTATGGCTGTGATATCTAGTAAGCTTTTATATGTGAAACTGTGATCATAGATCACTTGGTACAGGTACTTTAGAGGCCTGACCTAGCCTAACTTCTGCTTTTCCTTTGGATCAGTTCCTTCCAATAAGCCCTACAGGTATGCGTTCTTATGCAGACAGGCCGCAGACAGGCCTCATTCAGACCAGCATGTTGTCTTACATTATGATCGTAATTGTCCCAGTATTTTTCATGCTTGATGTCCTTGCCGGTGCAGTAATTTTCAATGGAGTGGAGGCTGTTGTCACATTTAGATACCAACCATATGGCGATGATGAGACACAAGGTTGAGTGCATATCTAAATTAGCACTTGACTGAATGTTTGAAGGGAATGTAGAAACTACTGTTATGATGGATGTATGTCTTTATGTTGTGATCATTTTCTTTTCCTTCAAAGAACACTGCTCTTGTGTAACATTCTTGTGCTGCTGAATGAAATAAATGTGCTAAATTTATAACTGTACATAAATCTTGGACCTAAACCAATGGTGTGATTCTATTTTGCAATTATCCTTGGAGGAAATTTATATGCACGATGGCGGTTTTGCAAGAAAATAGGTACAGAGATTTTGTGTACTTTTTAAACTATGGGGACAAAGACAAAGAAAATATAGCTATGCAAGATATGGTGTCATGGTCCACATGAATGATAAAGAAAATCCTAATGTTATGGCACCACAATGAATTCTTGTCCTTCCTTTAAAAACAAAAACTGATCCATATTGCACAGCATCTAAGGAAGAACTTTATCCTTGTCAACCTGTGCTCACAGCCAAAAGGCTCCTCAATGTTTACTCATAGGGTAAGGTTGAAAGAAAAGTTACCGTAAACTTCCTAAGGAAGGTGTGGGGCTGCTCAGATGCTGCAGGAGTATTCTATTGGAGGTTCAGTGATGTGCTGGGTCAGGCCCGTAGCCAGGATTTTGATTCATGGGGTGCTGAGTTTGATTCAAAGGGGGAGGGCTGAGGATCTACCCTGGCAAACCTTTTGTATCATTATCCCAATAGCCCCATGCATATGGGATATATTGAGCATGGTGATCAGATCATGATATGAATAGACATAACAGTTTGAATAATGTACCCGTAAAGCCTTCTTGCGGACCACCCTGAGAATTTGGGGGGGGGGGTGAAATGTTATTAACAACTTTCAGGCATTATATGAGAATCCATTTGTCCATTGTTTGTTTATATTTTAGATTTGAATCTAATTAAAACTTGTGCACCAGCTGCGCCTGTATCTTGGGAGGTCCGACTTGACCACAGTGGTCCACACTCTTGTTACATCCTGAATAGATTACTGCAACACACTCTACTTGGGGTTGTCTCTGAAGACTGCTTGGAAGCTCCAGCTAGTTCAACATTCAGCAGGCAGGCTGCTCACTGGGGTGGGGTACAGGGAGTGCACAACTCCCCTGTTATGCCAGCTCCACTGGCTGCCTATTAGCTTCTGAGCACAATTCAAAATGCTGGCTTTAGCCTACAAAGCCCTAAACAGTTCCAGTCCAGTTTACCTGTCCCTCTACAAACCACCAAAGACATTAAGATCATCCAGGGAGGCCCTGCTCTTGGTCCCACCTTCTTCGCAGTCACGACTGGTGGGGGCAAGCGACAGGGCCTTCTTCATGGTGGCCTCTCAGCTGTGGAACTCTCTCCCCAATGATATTAAATTCACCCCCTCCCTAAAAAAAAACCCAAAACCTCAAATTGTCTTTGAAATCAAGCATTTGTGCAATAAATGGATCAACTGGGTAAAAATGTTTTAGCGGACCGCAATGGACTGATTTGGATTATGTTTTGAACCAGTGAATTGTTTTGAATTGAATGCTTATACTTGTTTAAATTGTGTTCATTGTAACTGTGTGTTTTAATGGGGGTTTTTTTATATCCAATGACTGCCTGCTGTAAGCCATCCTGAGTCCCTCTTCAGAGGTGTGAAGGACGGGATAGAAATGCTTGAAATAACTAAATGAATAAATTGTTAGCCCCAACTATAACAGATTAGACCTATAGATGAATTATGAGAAGTAGGCCTGTGATTCAGTTCTACAAGTTGGGAAGGTTATGTAGTTATAATTCACTAATTTATTTGAATGCATGTAGAGCTGAATGTTTTATTTATGACTAGAAACCTCGTAAGTGTAGCTAATAAAATGGTAGATTTAATTTCTTATGCACCAATGTACTTATAATTCATTTATTTAAAATGTGTGCGTATGTTGCTGTTCCAGAACTAGAGTGTTATACTTGCTTGGATGCTGGACTAGGACTAAGAAGACCAGAGTTCAGATCCCTTCTCTATTGTGGCACCCTAATCGGTGGCCTTGGGCAAATCATGTTTTCTCACAGGAAGGCAATGGCTAACCCCCTTGAACAAATAAAACCCAATGATAGGGTTTAATTTAGATTGTCTAAAGTCTGAGATGACTTGAAGGCACAAACAACACCAGCAACAAGTTGACTTTCATAAAATGAATTTCGGTCAGGTTATGTCAGATTGAAACCCCATTATGAAAAGTGCCTACCTCACATTTATCTTTTCCACAGGATAGAGGAAGTCATTTATTGGTAGTGGGTTAGCATGGTTTGAGTTGAAATTGTGCATGTTAGCAATAAAAAATATGTCACTGCTAATGATTTTTTTAAAAATCCAAAAATTGATTTCTTGCTATTCAGAAAACCTGGGTGGAAAGAATAACACAGAGACGAGTATTATGCGTACATTTCACACATTTCAAGGTATTTTGGGAAATTATTTTTCATAAAAGCATCTGAATTTGCATTAAAATTATAGCATCTGTGCAAAAAACGTTTTCAGTACAAGAACTATTATACATTTTTGGTGTTCTCCCCAAGTACATGGTTGGATATTTTCTGTGTCAAAATTGGTTTATTTAAAAAAGAGAGTGTGTTTCTGTGCAAACATCCTCAAGAAAAACACATTGATGTTTCTGGACTACTAGAGGTTTAAGCATATAGTTTTTGTTCCCAAAATAAAATATATGTTTCTGAAAACCTTTTTTACACACAAAAACAAAAATTACAATTTTCCTGCATAACACTTATTTTGCACAAAAGCTACAAGAGAAAAAACTGCTCTCAGAAACATGCCTTTTGGGGGGATGTGTGAATACTGAGTAAATAGTGTGCCAAAATATATATTTTATCCCCACAGGGAGAATATTGCAAAAATTACTCAACCTTGCCTGTGATGAAGAAATAGTGAAAGATTTATATCCCTGGCATGTGTAAGGAGTTATCTGGGCTGGCAAGCAATGACAGCTTCACAGGACATGTCAAAAAGATAGCTTATAATGATTGTTTCAACATTGGGGAAGCCAAGCATATAGAGACACAGATTCTAGGCTTTAAGAAAGTTGATTTCAGTAAACTTTGGGGAATATTGAGTTTGATCCTATGGTCAGGAATGCAGATCATGATGGATGGGAGCTTCTCAAAAGTGAGATATTGAAGGCACAATTTCAAACAGTTAAAATGAGGAGGAAAATGGGAAGCATCTAAAGAACCCAGAAGAGATGGCTAAAGAACTTTGAAATGAGCTAAGGTTTAAAAAGGACATGTAGAAGAAATGGAAAAGAGAAGAATAACCAAAGATGTTGCAGCCAGGGAGTGATGGGACATCTAGGGTAGCTGCCCAGTGGTGCTAAATCACACTTGGCACAGCTGGGAAAGAGGGGCTCCTTTCCACCTCTGTGGTGGCTGGGAGTCCCAGTGATCTGGCACCCAGCGTGCTGGATTGGGTCCACATTAACAACCAGTGTTGAAGTGTCTTTGACACAGAGCAGCCAATTCTAACTATAGGCAGTCCCCAAGTTACAAACAAGATAGGTTCTATGGGTTTGTTTTTAAATTGAATTTGCATGTAAGTCACAACAGGTACATTTTTAAGTGTGACTCCAGCCAGAAACGTATCTTTTAAATCTTTGGATAGCATGGGGAAGGATTAACACCCCCGTGGTGTTTGTTTTGCTGTCTGTGCCCCCTTTCAGAGGATTTCACCTAACTTTCTGTCCCTGTGATAATTTGATTTTGAAAAATTGCTTGTCATGGGAACAAGGATTGGGGATAAAGCAGCAATGGAGACCCCTTTCCCCCATGATAATAACTCTTTCAGGAGTGGATTTCCCTCCCAAGGGGCAGATTTCTCTCACTTCCTTGTTCTCTCATTTCCCCATTCTTAGTTATGAATCATTTGTATGTCAAATGTTTGTAACTCAGGGACTGTCTGTACAGGGAAAGAGATTCAACCAAACAATAGAAAGAACTTCCAAATGTTGAGAGCTGTTTGATAGTGG